TCCAAATGTAACGCCTGCCATTGACTCCAAAGAGTTCAATTTTAGTCTCATCAGACCAGATAATTTAGTTTATTATGGTCTGAGAGTCCTTCAGATGCCTTTTGGCAAATTCCAGGTGGGGAGTGGCTTCCATCTGGCCACTCTACCATACAGGCCTGATTGGTGGATTGCTGCACAGATGGTTGTCCTTCTGTACGGTTCTCCTGTCTCCACAGAAGAACGCTGGAGCTCAGACAAAGTAACCATCGAGTTATTGATCACCTCCCAGACCAAGGCCCTTCTCCCCTGATCATTCACAGATGCCCGGCCAGCTATAGGAAGAGTCCTGGTGGTTCTAAACACTTACGGATGATGGAGGCCACTGTGCTCATTGGAACTTTCAGAGCAGCAGACATTTTTCTGTAACTTTGCCCAGCTTGGTTTGTGCTTTGACATGCACTGTCAACCCTGGGACCTTATATAGACAGGTGTATGCCTTTTTAAATCATGTCCATTCAACTGAATTTACCACAATTGAACTCCACTTAAGCTGCAGAAACATCTCAAGAATGATCAGTGGAAACAAAATGTACCTGAGCTTAATTTAGAGCTTCACGGCAAAGGGTGTGAATACTTATGTACATGTGATTTTTCAGGTTTTTAATTTTTAATGAATTTGCAACATAAAAAATATATAAAAATATTTTTTTCCACTTTCTTTAATTGTCATTATAGGGTATTGTGTGTAGAATTTTGAGGAAATTAAAGAATTTAATAAGTTATGGAATAAGGCTGTAACATAAAAAGTTTTAGAAAAGGTGAAGCGCTATGAATACTTTCCGGATGCACTGTATAGTCTAAAGTTATAATAAATAAATTGTTATTCTGAAAAGTATATTTGTTGCAGTATTTTATTCAAGATGCTCTGGAAATTAGGATGGTAAAAAATGTCAGATGCTTGGGGTGTGTGATGTATATTGTCTGCTATATTATAAGATATTGCATACGGACCCTGAGCATGTGTCAAAAATTCATTTTAACATGGAAAATATACCTTTTATAGCATGTTTGTGTGTTGTCAAAACAGTGTGTTAGTATGACCATGCTATCCACATTTCCTCCAGAGTTTTATGTAATTTCGGGTGTTTCATTTGTTCTGCGCTTTCACTTTCATTCAGGAACATTTCATGGATGTCCGACGAGATATTTGATGAGAGTATGAACTGCTGGAAGAGTGTTGTTTTGATGGAATTTGATACCGCATGCCGTATAGTAAAAAAAAAAAAAAGTCTGTATTTCGTGAAGCAGGTGTCTGTGGTCCTTTACTGACTCGGTAGGTGCAGAGAATAGTGTCAAACAGCCTTGTGTGTATGAAATATTCTGTCACAAAATACGGTGAAAATCCTACATGACGGTAATAGTTTGATTGTGGTGTTTAAATGTCTGTACTGCACTTTAATAATATGACTGATATCGGCATACTCCACATGTCTTAATACGATTTCTGTTTAGTTCGACTATGACCTTAATCTGATTAAATTAATCAAAAATCGCTGTTTACATGGTTCTAAATTAATCAGCTGTCCTGAACAATTAATTTGAACGAATGATTCAATTGATTGCTCGTTAAGGCAGGATCTTGCTTCTAGATATTGATTGTTTTATTTTAATAATCATTTATTTATTAATCCTTAATGGATATTTATGTTTTTTTCAATGTATTTGTGTGATGATAATAATGTCTTAAGGTTATTTTTTCATTCATTCTTAGTCCCTTTATTAATCTGGGGTCGCCACAGCAGAATGACCAACAACTTATTCAGTACATGTTTTACACAGCAGATACCCTTTCAGCTGCAACCCATCACAGGGAAACATTTACACACTACGGACAATTTAGCTTACCCAATTCACCAATAGCGCATATCTTTGGACTTGTGGGAGAAACCGGAGCAAACCCACGTCAACATGGGGAGAACATGCAAACTCCACACAGAAACGCCAATTCACCCAGCCGAGGCTCGGACCAGCTATCCACTGCGCCCCCGCATCACCCCGGGTTAGGGTATATTCATGGGGATTAACTCAATAACCCATTGATCAAAGACTGTAGTAATAAAAAAAAATCATGTTTAATTTTTAGTTTGTGGAAAATAAATTCATTTAATTAACCCCCCCCCCCCCCCCCTAAAAACAACAAATAAAAAAAGACATTTAAAATGTTTAAATAAAATTAATAATTGTTACTATTTTGTACTTCCGCTAGTATCCGTAGATAAGAATCTCATTGTGAGAAATTTATGTCAGCAAAATAATAATAAAACAAAAATAAGATTCTCTGTTTTGACTGATATTGTTGTCCTCTGTGATATTGTAATTACCCTTACCTGCCTAGTTAACCTAATTCACCTAGTCAAGCCTTTAAATGTCACTTTAATCTGTACGGAAGTGTCTTAAAAATATCTAAACAAATATTATTTACTGTCATCATGGTAAAATAAATCAGTTATAAAAAATTAGTTATTAAAACTATTGTGTTTAGAAATGTGTTGAAAAAATCTTCTCTCAGTTAATCAGAAATTAGGCTAATAATTCAGGGGGTCTAATAATTCTGACTTCAACTGTAGATATATTATAATTAAAATTAATATAGATTCATTCATTCATTCATTTTCAGCTTAGTCCCTTTATTATTCTGGGGTCGCCAGAGTGGAATGAACCACCAACTGATCCAGCATATGTTTTATGCAGCGGATGCCCTTCCAGCTGCAACTCATCACTGGGAAACATCCATACACACTAATTCACACACATACACTATGGTCAATTTTAGCATGCCCAATTCACCTATAGCGCATGTCTTTGGACTTGTAGAGGAAACCGGAGCACCCAGAGGAAACCCACACAAACACAGGGAGAACATTCAAACTCCACACAGAAATACCAACTGACCCAGTCGAGGCACGAACCAGTGACCTTCTTGCTGTGAAACGACAGCACTACCCACTGCGCCACCGCATCGCACTAATATAGATATATGTAACTAAATACAGTATTTGTTTTTCACCTGCTCCTTAATTGCATATCTATGCAGGAATGTTGTCAGTCTGACCACATGACTAATCTCAATTTAAAATGTTAACAAACAAGTTTGAGATCCACTGCTGAGAGTCAATACGGCTGATCTCTCAAGCTGAATTTAAATGAGTGTGAGTCTCCAGTAAACAGTCTCGTCGCGCATTGCATGATACGTGCATTTGCGATCAAATGCAACAGGTCAATATGAAGAAGGGATACCTGGTACAACTTTAGCATTATCCATATAGGTGTATAGACTGTCCTGGATAAATACAAGAGGGTACGATTGTTTTCCCATGGAGGTGGAGGTCAGCAGGTTATCTAGAGCTTCATCTTTTTAACCCCACCAGTCCCTCTTGTCAAACAAGAAGTAGCATTTAAAAATGACTTGATTCCGTTTTCAGACAGAAACAAAACAAGGCCTTTTATGTCAAGAGAGCATGTTGAGCATGTTTTTAGTCTTACGCAACCTTTAATGTCTTCTAGTTTTTCATTTAGTAATATGATTAAAATGGATTAGTTTGGATAATGTTATGGATAATATTTATTTCTGTTAACAGGAAAATTGTTAAATAAATGACAATTTATAATGTTTTGTCAGTTTATAAAACGTTAAAGTGATTTATAATTATTATTTATAATAATATAAATCTTTATCTGTTAATATATATTTAACACTGAAATATTTATTTTTATATATATATATATATATATAAATAAGAAATTATAATAAGAAAATGAATTAAGGAATAATATAATTTTTTTATCTGTTACTATATTAAGTATTACTATCTTTTTTTTTTGGATATCTTTTAATAAAAGTGGTTCAACAATAATTTATTTATTCACCATATTTGTATTATAAGTATTTTAACATTTATGCTATTGAGTTATTAATAAATCTAAATCCGGAACTGTTCATTTTTTTTTTTACATTTAATAATTTCATAATAAATCAATTACTCATCAATTTCATCTTTCATGATAATAATAAATACTGCTGAATGCAATCTGAGCTTTAAAGGTCATGAAACACATTTTTGGAGATTTTATGAATCTATATTTTATTAAATAATTTATTGTTTGTTAATTGTTTTTAAGATTTTTCCAAACTATTTTATTCTTCCATGCAGTGCGATGAGGCTGTATTTCGGTACTGGTGGAAGGCGTGCCTTAGTGTCCCACCAGTGCCGATATACAGCCACATCACACTGCTACAAGTGTGATATCATGTTTTTACAACAGTTTGACTGCATACTCCTGTGTATAAAACATAAAATCAAACACGTAGTCTCCAAATCCTTTTGTATGAGGAGCTTTGCTCTTCCCTCATGCCTTTACATCTGTAGCTGACGTCAAAACAGCAGAAACCGTTGCTAATTCACCAACGTCACTTTAGAGCCAGTATTTGAATGATTCTCTAGCGTAATGTTTAAGGTAATGACAAAACAGTTGATTTTGCTCAAATTCTCAGATTTTAAGGCTGAACGGCATGAAATGCCATCAGTCTACAGAGATTTCCCAGTATTTCTCGGTTGCAATCGGAAGATCATAATAATTAACCCTGAAAAAGCCAAAGCAGCACAATCACTACCTATTTACTGTTGTTTACGATAAAGAAAAATGCTAAACACATGCGGGCATTTCTTCTTTCTTTCTGCTTTCTGAACTAGAGAATGAGTTATATATAGATAAAGTTATAGTTGCAATGATACACTGAACAATTTTAATAACAACCTGCATTGTTTCATAATCCCACTCTAAATGCTATCAAAAATTCAAAGTATATCACACTTTCCTCTTGGGTCAAATGATTATCACTGCATTATAAGCAATAGTTTTAGTTCTTTACCTACATTTTAGATTACTGGAATATGGTGGCAATCTTCTGTTTGTCCTTCCTCTTACCGTGTCTTCATTTGTCCTGTGTGTGTGTGTGACAGGTGAGGGCCAGCGCTATCGCCCAGGACGCTGACCAGAATTACGACTACGCCTCCAACAGTGTGATCCTGCATTTAGACGTGGGAGACGAGGTCTGTGTGCAGCTGGACGGAGGCAAAGTCCACGGAGGAAACACCAACAAGTACAGCACGTTCTCCGGCTTCCTCATCTACGCCGACTGATGCTGCTCTGATGAACTGTGAACGAACAAACACACACGTTCATACAGTTACACACACACCCAACAGGCTTGAAGGAAGCGGACATGGTTTATACCGAGCAGAAGGGCTTTACAGACACGATGGCAACCAATTCCTTTTGGATTTCCGACATGCTGTTACTCCCAGATATAAATTGAGGCAAGACACTGCAGGTTGAATAGAGTAGGAAAATGAACAGTTATCATCATACAGTACTTTCCAAATTGACTGATTGCATAAGAAATTGCATTACGTAGTTTTCTGAATTAAGCTCGTTTAAATATGTAAATAAAAATGCAAATATCTGTGTTCATTTGGATACATTTCTAGCAAAAAAAAAAAAATCTGAACATTGGTCAAAATCAGGTTTAAAATTTGCAGTTCTTTTTTTTTTTTGACAGATCACAGCAAACATTTTTGTATTTAAAAGAAGATGTCTAAAAAATATGAGCTTTAAAAATATATATTGTAACTGAAATCTACAGAGGAAAGTACTTCCAACTGAAACTGAATATTGAGTAGGGGGCGGTGCTTTCTTTTTGTGCTTCCCTTATAACAAACTAGTGGTAAAAGGGGCGTGGTTAGGAATATAGTAGCTGAAGCCGTCCACACAGAAGCAAATGGTCAGACTTTGATTGAAGATTACCAAAACAAATTCAGCAGATCATCTTGCATTGAATAATTGTTTACCTAAATAATAACAATGTGCGCTATCAAAGTAAACATTGTAAATTTTGATTTCACACAGACTTTAGAAGTGTTTTATTTCTCATTTGACAACGAAAAGCCCAAAAGCCCAAAATCTCAATATTGAAAGGTGCCTATAGTGTTTTTTCCTGCAGTCTCTTGCCTTAAAAAGCATATAAATATGTCTATATTTATCCTGAACAGCGACGCGCTCATTTTTTCATGTGTGTACTTGTTAGTGTATTTGTCTCCATTTTGTGTGTCGGTCAAATCCAGTCGCTCTCTGTAGTCAACATGCTTTATGGTGAACTGAGCTGCATTTACACATGGCTGGACTTGATGCAAAATCAGCACTCATTAGATGCAGTCGTGGTGCAATATAGGCACGTATATATGCGCACGCACACGGCTAGTGATTAATCCAGGTCCTCTTGTTCAATTCATTTAACTTCAAGTGACTGTTTTGGTTGTCTGTGTGGGATTGGAAATATAGTCGGAGTATGTGAAAACACACACAATGACTTTCCAATCAGATGGATTTCCAATCACTCGAAAGAATCTGAAGTGGAGCAGAATGCTAATGTATTGGTTTACATTGATAAGGCTCTTGATTTCAGATTAAATCCATTACATTGTGTGAGCTTATCTTTTGAGTGACTTTTTTTAGTCCTTTTTATAGAGGAAATAAAGTGCTCTAATAAAACCACAACTACTACTATGTGAAAAAAAAAAACTCTTAATTATATCAACATTGTTACATAATTATTCATATGATTTATTGATTTTCACTCTGGGAGAAAGTGAATTTTAAGATGCTGTAAAAATCTATATATAATTTTATGTGATGTCTTTAAAATAAATATATTTAAAATGATCAGATTTAAGACAAGGAATAAGATGGTCAATACATTTTCGCAGTCATTAAAGTTTGCTGGTATAATTTTTTAAAACCTGCTTTATGGGTCAAAGACGAGACATTCCCTTTCTGGATCAAATTACATCTATAATATATATAGTATACATACATACATACATATATACACACACACACACACACACACACACACATATATATATATATATATATATATATATATATATATATATATATATATATATATATATGTATGAAGTGTTTCAAATAGTTTTTGTGACAATAAATGTCAAAATTAGTAAAATAATGCATCATCATTCTGAGTAATTAGGCCCGTCACAATATTTATTTTTTGTTGTTCGATAAATTTTGCGATCAACGATGTTATTGTCATTTTAAGACCATTTTATGCCACTCATTATATAATTGCCAGAATGACAATATAATAGCATCAAAAGCATATATATAGCACTCTTCCAAAGAACACATAATATTTTATTATTACGAATATTTCATTTAATTACAGTCATTTCAACAATTTAATAATTAGGCATTGGAATTAAATGTTATCCTAAATAAATAATAATAAATGTTAACAAATAAAGTGCAAGGTAAAAAGTAACAGAGGCTGCGATGTCTGCCCCCAGATCTATTTTCAGTTATCAAAAACCCTCATGAAAATATACTATTGTAATACTAGTTTTTTTTTTTTTTTTTACCATACTGAAACCTCCAATAGAGGTCATATCCATGTGTTGTGCAATAAGTCGATATGTTGATTATTGTGACAGGGCTAAGCGTAACTGATGCATTTAAATGAATCAACATGTGTATTCTGATTGGGTAAAAGCAAATATATTTATAAAGACACACAATTTGAATTAATTAGTATGCAAAAGTTTAGGGTACGTTTTTTTTTTTTTTTACATGTTTTTCATGTTTCATGTTTTAAGAAAATTATTCTGATCATTTAGGCAGCATTTATTAATTGTAAATTTTTTTAAAATTATTTATTTAAAAAAAAAATGCTTTCCTATTTTATGTAGTTTCAAATGCAATTATTACTCCAGTCATTATTGCTTGTATTACAATTACTGTTAATAATATTAATATTAATAATAATAATAACAACAACAATTAATATTAGAGTTATCTCTGAAGGATCATGTGACTCTGAAGACTGGAGTATTGAAGCTGAAATTTCATTTTTAAAATCACTGAATTAAATTATTAACTACTTTTGAACAGTTATAGTGCAATAACATTTCACAATTTTACAATATGTACTGTATTTTTTATCATTCAAACATTTAAAAATCCAACTGATCCCAAACTTTTGACTGGTAGGGTATATATAAAATTGTTACACTCAATGACATTTTTGGATCTTCTGCAAATCATGGTATACGTGTATGATCGTTCTTATATTTTGCTCACAACAGAATGCATAAATCGAGCTATATCCCTTAAACCTCTTTTCGTCTTTGACTATATATATATATATATATATATATATATATATATATATATATATATATATATATATATATATATATATAAATCAAGCTTGCATCTATATATTTTTCTGTATTATTAAACTCAACTTTTATGAAATCAATCTTATGATAAATCTGCCCTTGCAAACTAAATTTGCTGGAATTTTAGTACAAAATGTTTTGTAAGAAATATGACATGAAATGGTTGTTGAAGTCAAGCCATGTGCAAATACACTTATATAACATGTCAAAAACATTCCCTATTCATAAACAATTAAATAATAAATAATATTCAAATATCTCAGCCTCATTTTTATGTAACATTTGTACAAGACTATGCAAAACCCTTGCAATGTGTTTAGAGAATGCTAATAGAAAATATGATTTATAGAAGTCTACTGCTAGTTTCAATTAGCCCAGCTTTTGATATAAAATGTTTCAGTACACTACCTGACAAAAGTCATGTTGCCCATCTAAGTTTTAGGAATAACAAATAATAACTTTACTTCTAGTTGATCATTTGGTATCAAAAGTGACTTTTGAAAGGCAAAAGCCTCTAGATTACGCTTATTGCACCAAAATAAAATATGATCATGCCCTGATTTTTAATTATTTAATTAGGACAGGAAGGTCTGACTTTGCTTGTTTTTACTGGACGTTGTAAATAATGTCCATTATCGAATATAAAGTCATGGTGCACTGAAAAAAGAATTAATATTGTGTATGACTCCCATGACCTTGAACGACTGCATCCACACATTTGCAATGACTCAAATAACTCATTAATAAAGTCACCTAGAATGGCAAAGAAAGCTTTCTTGTAGGACTCCCAGAGTCCATCAAAACTCTTTGGATTTATCTTTAAATGCCTTTCTTACCCCAGACATGCTCAATAATCTTCAAATCTGGTAACTGGGCTGGCCAATCCTGAAGCACCGTGACTTTCTTTGCTTTCAGGAACTTTGATATGGAGACTGAAGTATGAACTTACCCTCTCTTGTGGTTTGTAATGTCTGGCTGATGTTGCCATCCAATCTGCAGATCTCTTGCACGCCCTCATACTGAATTTAACCCCAAATCATGCTTTTTCTGTCACCAAACTTTACTGATTTGTATGAGAATCTTGGGTCGATTCAGATTCCAATAGGTCTTCTGCAGTATTTGTGATGACTGGGCATAAGAAAAATCTACCTTTTGCCACTTTTTTAAAGGATCTAAGACCAGAAGTCAAGTTATTATTTTTTGCTCTTGCAACTAGGGATCGACGACAAGAATTTTGTCAGGTAGTGTATATACATGTTGAAATTATTTTAAACTGGCATTATGTCCAAAAGTATAAAGCCTAATATTTTGTTTTTGTTGGTTTATATGTTTTTTCTCAAAATAAGATGAATTAAACAACGTTTTGCTGAGTGTGTATTTGTTCTGTTAACTTGGCTGTCATTAAAGATGCTAAACCAGCAGTAGGTGGCAGTAAGTCCATGTAGTTCAGTCAATCCAAAAGATTAATTCAAAAAACCAACTAATGATTACCTGTGTTTGTGTTTTCTGCTGGCAAAACAGAATAACAGAACAACCATTCACTTTCGTAGTAAGAATAACAAATACTATCTACGGAAGTCAACGGCAGGAGCAGACTTAGCCAATAAGCGAGGTAAGCAGCCAATTAAGGCCCCGGGGAATTAGGGGGCCCGAGCAATGCCAGGAACCCCATATTAATCATATAGCTCATATGTTGTAAAATCTGTCTATAACCATTAAATTTTTAATGTTATTACTTCTTTTCAACTTTCTCTTTCAAACACCTGTCAGATGATGAGCACCGTGAGCTCAAATAAAAGATCATTTTTCAGTGAACAGTGACGATTGCCGATTCACAATAAGCAATTATTTAGTTAATATGAAAAATGGTGAAAAGATTAGTTTGACTGGGAATTAAACTTGATTTAATTTTACATTAGGTTAAAACAGCAGTTTTAAGTCACAGAATCAGATATTGATACACAAATATTAAAATCTAAATCACAAATATGGCTTACTGTTGTGAACTTGTTTTTTATTTGTGAGTTTTATGTATTTAATTTTACATTAAGTTGATAAAGGTTCCACTTTAAATATATTTTAAACATGCAGGTTTTATTTTGAAACAATGGCTGGTTTTAGAGGGGTTTTGGTCATTTCCAGGCTGGTTTCCAGCCATTTCCAGCCTGGAAATGGCCAAAACCCTTCTAAAACCAGCCATTGTTTCAAAATAAAACCTGCATGTTTCAAAATAAAACCAGGCTGGTCAACCAGTTAAAACCAGCCAACCAGCCTATGCTGGTTTAAGCAGTTTTTTTTTTTAGCAGGGCTATACCTGGAATTGCTTAGGGCCCCCAAATGAAGTCCACCCCTGGTCAACAGTAACAGGTTTCCAACATTTTTCAAAACAAAATAACTTTTGTTTTTTAACTTTTGTTTTCTGAATGACTGTCATCTGACTGTACGAGGTATCCAGTAGCCGATATGTTAGACAACATTTAAATTCACACAATGCATAAGGGCCTGTGATACTGAATTCAACAGTTAAACAGGAAGGGAAAGTTCACTCATAAATGACAATTTGGTCATCATTTATTCACCCTTTACTCGTTTCAAACCTTTAAGTTCCTGACACTGTTGTTTTTAAAAATGTTGGAACCTGTAACCGTTGACTTGTGTAGTATATGTTATTGTTATTATTAAAGTCAATGTTCACAGCTTCCAGCTTTCTTCAAAATATCAAAGTTGTTTTGTGTTCAACAGAGGGTTTGGAACCAGTTGATTTTAAGTAAATTGTATTTTTAGGGGTTGAATTATAACATTATTGTGTGGGTAACAAAAACAAACACTGAGTGGGTTTAAAAACACATTTTAGGCCCTTATTCTCTTACCAACAAAAATATTTCCACAACACAGAAATTCTCAGCTGTTCAACTTTGGTTCAGTGTTCGAGGTATCGAGAAGCCTATATGTAAGACAACATTTGAATTCCCTCAATTCATAAGGGCCTGTGATACAGAATTTAACTGTTAAACAGGAAGTACAGGGATAGTTCACTCATAAATGACAATTTGGTCATCATTTATTCACCCTTTACATGTTTCAAACCTTTATTAGTTTATTACTTTATTAGTGTTGGGATCCTTTAGTCGTTGACTTTCATTGTATTTGTTAATCTTAATATTAAAGTCAATGTTGACAGGTTTCTTTAAAATATTCATTCAAAAGCAGATCTATTCAGAAACCAAAGTTGAAAAACTGAGCATCCCTACTGAAAAAACAAACAGCTTAAACCAGCCTAGGCTGGTTTTAGCTGGTCAACCAGGCTGGTTTTAGAGGGGTTGTGGCCACTTTCAGGCTGGTTTCCAGCCTGGTCTTAGCTGGTCAGGCTGGGAGATGACCAGCTAAAACCAGCTTGACCAGCCTAGACAGGCTGGAAGCCCAGCCAAAACCAGCTATGTCCAGCTTAAACCAGGCGGGTCAAGCTGGTTTTAGCTGGTCATTTTCCAGCCTGACCAGCTAAGACCAGGCTGGAAACTTGAAGTGGCCAAAACCCCTCTAAAACCAGCCTGGTCAACCAGCTAAAAACAGCCAACCAGCTTAGGCTGATTGGCTGATATATATTTCTGTGTTGTAGAAATGTTTTTTTTTTTGGTGGGAGAATAAGGGCCTAAAAATGTGTTTTTAAACCCACTCAGTGTTTATGTTATACCCGCTCAATGTTAATGGTATACTTTACCCCCCAAAAATTTACTTACCATCAAATGGTTCCAAAACTTCTGTTGAACACCCCAATAGTTTGAAGAAAGCTGTAAGCTGTAGCAGTGACTTCCATAGTAGCAATAACAAATACTGTTAGTAAATGGTTAGAGGTTTCCAACATTTTTCAAAATACCTTATTGTGTAGGAAACTCATAAAGGTTTGAAACAAGTAAATAGATGATGACTAAAATGTCTTTTTGGGTGAACCATCTCTTCCTGTTTGTATCACAGGCTTGTGCCTTATGAATTATGTGTGTATTCAAATGTTGACCAAAATATACTACTCAATACCTCCTAGTTAAAACAAATATGTCATTATCTTTGACGATAAATACCTAGCATGTCTACAACTAAGATTTATAAAAGTGTATTTGTTGTTCACGTCAGTTAACGTTAATGGTTGTTACCAAAATAATATTATTAAAATCAATAAGGCTATACTATCCACTTCATTTTAAATCGTCCACTGTGTTTAAAACGTTTATACCAAACACCACTACGGAAGAAAAAAATAAGTAACTGGGAGAGAAAGAAAAACAAGCAAAACGAACCCAAACGATTCTGGGATTCTACCTGGGCATGATGTCGGAGACAGGAAGCTAAAACGAAGGCAGAAAGCTTTAATTAAAAGCGAGAGGTAATGACATTCCGGCCTTAAGGCTTTGGTGAATCCGCAGCCTGTGGGAATATGTGTGTGGGATCTCGGCGTGTCCGCGTCCAGCCTCCTCGCGCTCCTGCCAGACTCCGGCTGAAAGTTAATTGGACGGGGAGAGTCTGAGGAGGCCCGCGCTGAGGCCCATTAGCGATTCCCCTGTCGAATGCAGAGCCACGAGGATCACACTCACAAATAGGCAGATTAAAATAATCAATACACTTCACTTGCCTCCGACACATTCGCACGAGCGCGCGCAGAATCAGAGCTGCACTGCACATCCACACACATCCGCGCTGAATGAATTCAGTAATTAGTGGAGGAGCTATTCAGCAGTGCTGGATGATACTTGGCTCTCTCTCTGCCTCGGTGTGTGTGTGGTCTAATGAGAGGGGAATAGTTCTGACTGGTGCCGAGAAGAGAGAGAGAGAAAAGGTCAGTGAGCTGTTGATGGGCTCGTCTTGGCACACAATGCATCATGGGGTATTTCAGCACACCTAAACAAACCCTCAGATTATAATCATAGGTTCTCTTAAATAATCATATGATGCTCTTTTACCTTTAACACAAATATACCATTTTGAGGGATGTAAACAATAGCAAGGGTCCTAACCTATTTCCTATTTTACATTTTTTATTTCTATGGCTTCAGAGAATCCAAAATAATCCCATATATTGATTATGTTATGATAGCTGTTTTAACATTAAGACATGATTGAATTGCCTCTTGATTATGAAAGAGTTTGACCACAAGCAGGAAATGTTGATAGGCCAATGACATGAGCACACTGTAATAGTGTATAGATGATTAAATAAGAAGTATACACTCTGATATATCATGTACAGACAGGCTTATGTATAATATAGGCTGTGTTTTATTATACAATAGTCAACATTTGAAGTGGATCAAAATATTTTTTTAAACTGTCCTAATACATGAATGGTTGTTCAATAGTTTTAGGACCACTTTGATGAAAGGCGATGATCCAGTATATAGTGTGAGTGTGTCCATATATATATTTAAACACACTTTCTATCAGCTCGAACCAGTCTGGTCATTCTCCTTTGACCTCTGGCATCAACAAGGCATTTGCGCCCACAGAACTGCCACTCACTGGATATTTTCTCTTTCTTGGACCATTCTCTGTAAACCCTAAAGATGGTTGTGCATGAAAATGCCAGTAGATCAGCTGTTTCTGAAATACCCAGGCCAGCCTGTCTGACACCAACAACCATGCCACATTCCAAATCACTTAAATCACCCTTCAACCCCCTTCTGATGCTCAGTTTGAACTGCAGCAGATCGTCTTGATCAGGGGTTCCCAAACTTTTCAGCCTGCGACTTCCAAAATAACAATGCCAGTGACTCTGAGGTGGTTATAAATATTGCAAACAACAATAGGCCTATATAAACACAAGCATACTGAACAGTCTAACAACCACATTAGGAAATAATTTATAGAAATTTATTCATTTAAAATTAACCTCATCTAAAGAGACTGGTGAGCAATGTTTTCAGCACAACTGTATTCTTGGTTTAATTTTGCAAACCGCCACTCAGAGATCATCCCCAATGTTCAGTGGTGGCCTGTATTTGTTTTTAATGTATTTGACTGCCATAAAGGTGTGAGAAAGTTTAACCTGGTGCTAAAAAATCAATCTGCTGCCGCTGACTCTATTGCGGTGTTGTTAATATTACAAAAACACAACAATCCTTTTAAAAATTAAAAGGCTGATGGCTTTTAATTTGCATGTTGTTGCTTTTTTTATGTAACTATTAACTACTATTTTTATCTTTTGTGGGTTATGGATAAAATATGGTAATTCTAATAGTTTAATTAATTATTTGACTTTTGGAAATCACCAAGCGACCCAGTCACTGTCCTGCGACCATCACTTTGGGAACCACTGATCTTGTCTACATGCCTAAATGCATTAAGTTGCTGCCACGTGATTGGTTGCTTAAAATATTTTGTTAAGCAGTTGGACAGGTGTACCTAATAAAGTGGCCGGTGAGTGTATATTATACATAGTTTTGTGCACATTTCTTTGCCTTTTTGTTTTGTTTTTTAAAAAAAACACTCAATTTCACATTTTTGCAATTAATAAAATGTAGATTCCTCTTTAAATGTAAATGTATTAACCTCATATCTTATAGCATAATCATTTAAATAAACCAAATATAAACAAATCTTCATTTCATTTCCTGTTGCTTATTTTTAAATAAATATACAAAGATGTAAATGCTTAAAGCTGTTAATAGATGAGGACAATTTAGAAAAGCTTGTCAGCCTGGGGTTTGCCCTTATAACCAATTGAGACAAATTAGGTCTGAGCACTAAACATCTTAGTGCCAACAACATTTGCTTTTAATTTAAGGTGCTGACCCGAAACCAAATAGTGATCCTTTGGATTGCATTAATCTAACTGCACAAGAAGTTCAGCAATTTGCTCTAATTTTACTCCAGACAGCTTGGTTTTTACAATGAAGCACAATCAATTTAAGGAACTGAGGTCAGTTCAGCTCTCAACAAGTGTAAGGATACTGCCATCTATCTGCAAACAACAGAAGCGCAAGACGTGTTTAAAAAAAAAAAAAAAAATACACAGAATCTGAAATAATAAGACGGGTAGTTTGTTTAAAATGTACTTTATTGGACCGCGAAAACATTCCGAGTTAATTAAAACAAAATGTTATTGCCTTTCTGGTACATAATTTCTCAAATTGAAAAAGTTACTGTGAAAAGGCCAAAAACAAACATCTGGCCAGACACGACATTTCTACTCCAGCACAGTTCAGCAGAGATGCCTGAGGATACACTAGATATTGCGTACACGCTGCCGATATGTGCTGCATCAAGAGCTTTTATTGCAGAGCGCTTCAGCACACAAGAGATCTTTTTCATATCGCTATATGGTTTGAATACCACAGGACAGGAGCTCTATCTCTTGGGGAGTCATATGGGAACTTAAAGAAGATAAAGGCACTTCTAATAATAATACCCAAATGAGTGCACACACACAAGAAAAACGACTGGAGCCACTAAGCAAATGAAGGTGAGGGAATGAATAGGAAGAAGAAAAAAAATACACAGAAATTATTACATAGAAAATAAGACAAACAAATGGATGTGGTCTTTATCTTCAACCGCTCATGACCATGCGGACGAGCTCTGTGAAAAAGAAGAGAAGAAATAAAAACAAGTTAGGGTCCATTGTGCATCAAAAGGGGATCAACCCAAACTACAGCATATTAGGGGGAAAACAAATGGTTCTAATTGTTCAAATATTCATTTCAGAAGTGTTTAAGTCACATCTTTTCCTACTCACAATGTAATACGTTTATTAAATGTTATTTTATTTACATTTGTAGTAGGGCTGTGCAATATGACTAATATATATATATATATATATATATATATATATATATATATATATATATTCATATTCATATATATATATATATATATATATATATATATATTCAAGTCAGGTTTCAAGTCAAATTCAAGTCCATTAAGAATACAATTTTTGACATATACAGGGTTAAACACTAAATGTTTTTCTAATGACCTGGTATTATCATGAGGAATCATGTAATTGCTTGGTTTTCTTTCCCTAATTAGGGGATTTAATAGGCAATGTCTAACAGCTATTGTGAACTGTATCTCTTTGCAATAAAAAAAAAACAAATATAAAAATAATTTTATGTTTGCAACACAGTGGCACAATGGTTAGCTCTGTTACCACACAGCAGGAAGGTCACTGGTTCAAGACCCAGCTGGGTCAGTTGGCATTTGTGTGGACATTGCATGTTCTCCCTAGGTGGGCAAGGGTTTCCTCCACGGCCTCAAAGACATGCTGTAGGTAAATTGGGTGAGCCAAATTTGTTTGTGGTGTATGCCATGGTCCTCCCCATTTGGAGTAACAACGTTTTAAGCGATTTTATCTTGACAGACTGACTTTAAATACACATACTCTCATTTTAAAAATCACACAACCATCATCTCAATGTTTCTGAGTTTTCTATGACAGAAATCGTTCTTATGAGGTAATCTGGGAATACTTTCAGTGCATTCCTAGTACAGTTTTTACACTTTGCATCTGTAATCTGTAAGCTTCTGGAAAGATTATTAGTTATCGCTTATTTTAGGTTTCTAAATAAAAATTAAAAATTAAAAAAATTGCCCTGTTTTAAATAGAGTGAGATAATCATCACATATGAAGAGTACATTTGAGAGTATACACATGAATAGAAACAGCTTTTGTTGGTGATGTATCGTTATCAGGATAAGAGATGGCACATCGTGAAAGAGATGTGTGTCATATAACCCAGCCCCAAGTTGTAGGTTCATTAAATGCAAATCTTGTCCAAATATCATTCAGTTTTGGCCACTGCTGTGCATAAAGCCAAATGCCCTCTACAGATCCTCACCAACCAGTCAACTCAAACTGATCTCTGCCTGCCACATTTGCTGTAGTTTGAAGCCATTCCCCAGTTCTACTCATTCTTTAGTGGTGAGAAACAGGGTGAGAGCAAGATCATGGCTAGCTCCTACTCAACCTTAGCTCAAAGACTTAACCAGGTCTAGGAAATCAAGAAAATGTTAAAAAAGCTCCTTCTGGTTTTCCTCTACAAGGCAAGAGTGGAAATGGTTTCACAGCACAGTAATGAGAGATCGTAGAGTTGAGCTATGGTTCAGCCTCCATCAGGAAAAGGGAGAGAAAGATCAGCAAAAACAGCCTAAAATCACTGCAATTTGATTGGTTAGTTAATAATAAAAGCAACTGCACTGCTTTGGGGAGCACAGGAATGGTGTGTACAGATTTTTCACAACACCGGAATTAAATCTAACGCCCAAAGCATACTGTTCACAGTCAAACAGCACCACACACAAACAGGAAAATGACACGTGTGCACTAGAAAGATTCATCTTTGTCCAATGTCAATACTTTCTGTCCAAAACTTACAAGCAATAAAAGATAAAGTTGCTTGTATCTTTAAATTCCCTCTTACTTGCAAAGCACAGGTGTCATATTTCATGAGTTAAACACATGCAGTATAAAAACTTAAAACATTGATCAAAATTAGAGAACTCCTATTAGAGATTCCTCCTAGATATTAGTGTTAACCTGATTCTGGTGGTAAATTCATTAAAGCAACACTATGCAAGTTTCTAACAGCTCAGCCTTGTGGTTGATATGCACAATTGCCCATTATCATGGACATAAAACCTTACTGTTGGCAGTGCAATTTACTGCATCAAGGTTAATAATGAGTTTTATTTATGTATTACTGATCGTAAACAAATTGTTTTTTTCACCTCTAAGGGCGTACTCGCATTGTGTACAGTTGCCTTGAACCGGACCAAAGCAAGCTTGTCCCCCCTCCTGTCTCCCCTGACGGCACGCACTCATTACATTCGGGCCTAGGCACGCTTACGACATCGATGATGCACTGTTTAGTAGAGAAGCGCTCTAGCTCAGCACAGTGGAGATTTCTCTAGTTATATTGTTTTAGTCGTTTGGGATGAAGTGAGACACAGTCAAATATTTCGACAAACATATCCGCCACTTTTGATGCTCATAAGCAATCATAAAGTCCTTGTGCTGCAGGAATTAGGAGATTTGGTGAAGGCGCAGCTGTGGTGCAGTGAGGGGTTTGCGTCTTTAATAAACTACGACAGTTTGGGTTTATTGAGGTGTTAGAATGATTAATAAATCCATATCAAACAGTCTCTGAAATGTCACGTCTTGCTTTCATTTTCAGGCGTAGGTGCGTGTTGCACTCACACATAAGTGTACCGCGCCAAAGCCAAAGTGAACCACGCTCAGGCACACCTCTTCCAACCGGGCCAGGGCCAGCCAAGTGAACCGTGCTCAAACAATCCGGGAAACGGGCCTGGGTACAGTTTGGATACCATAGTGCGAGTAGGCCCTAAGTCAACCGGTTCAACTAGTTCACCAAATTCAACTGAATCATTCATAATGATTAGAGTCTCATGCAAGCACTCTTATCTACAAATTGCAGAACTTAATTTTAAGAAACTTTTCAGATCATGATGATGTTTTAACTGACTGAAATTATGATTGCTGACTACATATTTTTGATATGTTGGGTCAAAACATGGGAGAAATGTCACGAAACATCTGGTTTGGGTTAAAGATCCAAATTTCTCATCACAACTGTATATCTAGCCTCAAAAGCAGTCTTGCACACATTTTCTTGCACCTATTAAATATCTTTATTAACTTAAAAAAAAACTTATACTTAAACTAAAAAAAACTAAGCAAATTCAAAATATAAAAACTAAGAAAAACTAGTAAATCTACCTCAAAAAATCAATTAAAACAAACTGAATTTGAAAATAAGTCATAACGAAAAAGACTAAAACTAATGAAAAATGCAAAACTATAACCTTGCTGCATATTCATCGATGAGGTAAAATAGCTTGTGTTATACTGCACTTTATTTCACAAAAATCATTTCAGTTAGCGCAATCGAGTGTAAGCCAGTTCAATGAAAACCAATTCAAATCGGTATTTGGCCTCATGTTTGATTGGACTCACTTTTTCTTGGCTTCCTTTGCCAAAACACTTTCAGTTTTCTTTAGTGGGTCTGCCTTGGCGCTTGTATTCCTTCTATATTAAATCTGTTTTGGCCAACTCCACCTAGTATACAAAAACAACCTGCGAAATTTGCCCTAAAGCAGATCTCACTGTTCCGCTCAGGCATTTATATAAATGTCCATAGTGGCTGTGGGTACTGGATGGCTCAACAAAAAGCTGCATGGTTATTTCAGGTAAAAGATCTGGAAGCCAGAGCATCTGAATACATCTAGTTAGGCGTTTTTCTACCACTGATATAGTTTCAGACTGTTATTTTAAAGGTCAAACACTTCCATAGTGCTGCTTTAATTATTTAACAAACCCCATTTTAGCTGGCAGTCCAGATAAAGACAAAAGAGATGATCCTTTCAGCCATAGCAAAAGAAGTCGCTTGTTCCAAATCTGGTTCTTCATAAAAAACAAAACGCACAAGAGGACGAGATAATGTGGAGAACACTGCAGCTTGAATTGCTAACTGACCTGGGTCTGTCTTGCACTGGTTAGCACAGTAAAATAAAAATAACAAGTATGGTACATCATTGACTAAAATCTCTTCAAATTTTTCAAAAAAAACTTTATATTTATAAACTGTTCTCTAATTTTGATCTCTACTGTACATCACACACAATCTGAATTGCGCACAAACCCTAGTACACCTTGGGCTTTAGAACGAACATATGTCAAGTCCTTTAACCTGTGCTCACATCTGAAGCAGTGCAGTCGCCCTTTCGCCTCTGAGAGCCGTTGCAGGGACGGCCACATGCAGATAGCATGCTGCAGCCAGGGGCCAGAGAAAAGGCTGCTGCAGAGATAGGGAAAATTCCAACCATATGTCAAAACCATCAAACTGCATCCAACCAGGCTCTCTAGCTCTAGACGTCACATGATGCACAGCTACGCTGTGAATGACTATGCTGAAAGATGCGAAGAAATAAGGAGTAGACTATGCAATCATGTGCGTCTAGAGCATTAAAGAAAAGACCTGGATAGATTGTTGCTTCACGTGTTATAAATGTGGAGGTCAGGAGGCGGACGTACACCAGAGGCATCTCTCAGCCAGACATGATGTGGCGAACGAAGGCTGTGGAAGATCAGTTCAGTTACAGTTATCGCATGCTATCATCAAAAGATTTTTCACTGCGATGCATAACAGTAGAATACCGTCAAAATAATAATTTAACTCCAAACACATTCCTAAAGTTTGGACTAAAATAACTACCGTTAAGATCATCAGATAAACAGTGAGGGCTCTCTCTTTGTGAAACTAAATACATAAATCAAACTTTATAGTTTACCTTCGTAATTGATGCAACCGTTAGCATCTTCATGTCCTGCTAGAAGTGTTTCTACCTCCTCTTCGGTCATCTTTTCCCCTATAAAGATACAGGTTTATCAACTAGAGCACTTTATCCTAATATTCCATTTACCTATTATGACATTCAGTGGCCTAGATGTGGAGTCGGTGGTTATATATATCCTCACAGGAGACCTGGCCGGCTTACCCAGTGTGGTGAGAACGTGGCGGAGCTCAGCACCCATGACTGTGCCGTTGCCTTCCTTGTCAAATACTCTAAGCCCCTCCACAAAGTCCTCAAACGTGCCCTGGTCTTTGTTCTTGGCGATGGCCTGGAGCATGGGCAGAAACTGCTCGAAGTCCAGCAGTTTATGGTTCATTTCTGAGGAACAAAGAAGCCTCTAATCAGACAAGATAGCATTTATTTCCATATTATACAGGAAGCAAGACCTACCATTACTGACACATTTGATCTAAGTATTAATGTTTGTGCAAATAGATGGCGCAGCAATAATGATAGGCTAGGTTCAGGCTGACTATGAGAACTCCTGACCTTTTAGGCCAGTGATGTGTTGTTACAAAAGTAAGCAACATTTGAAGTGGATCAAAACCTTTCATTGAAACTTATCCTGAATGAACATTAAGCGATCTCATTTCTGTCTTCAAATTTTGTACCATAAGCCAATACTGAAAACAAACATTTAGTATCGTTACATATTAATATACTTTAAGAGAGGAAAAAAACTTGTAGCGATTTTTTTTTACTGCTAATAATATTGTAAGATTTGTGGGTTGAGTAAAAATATTGGCAGGAAAAATTTAGATAGTTGTGCTTTATACTATACACACAAGCATACACACACACGCACGCACGCAACTAAAGAGCACATTAGAGTGGCAAGCTGGAACAATCGTTTGCCACAGTCTTTTAAGATTTTCCCATGCAATTTTACAACAGGTTTTCAGTTTATTCAGTATCAGTACAATATCTTCTATAGTAAACATAATTTGCCATACAATGTAATAAACCATACTGAACACCAACTTTTATACCAATTGTGTATTTTAAAAAAGGCAAAGTTTAAGGAAAAGCTTGAGGGAAGAACCAAACTAGTATTCCGAATTTTGACATTATCGCTGCACAATTTTACACCAAACTTAAAAACTAGCCAAAAGCTAGGGTAGGGCTCTTTGCGGTGAATGTTTTTAAAGGGCAGAAAGAAATTATTTAAATAAAACCATTTGCTCCAGAGTAATTTTAGCATCATGGATGTGACATCTGCAGTAAAAACTCAAAACATAAATTCACAGAGACCGTATTTGTTAACATTATTTACTGAAACATGTTTATATTTTCCAAAAACGCACACCAGTTATGGGATAAAAAAAATATCAATCTGTAAACATTTGTATATTTTAAATAAGGACAATAAACATGCGTTATGGATGTGACCAAAAAAAGGATGCGAGTTTACAGTACAGCATACTTTGTAGAAATTCTGTGAATTGAACTGCACAACCCAAAAGAAACAATGCTAACCAAAAGGATAAGAGTTGGCTCTCTACAGAACAAATATTGATTTTATCTTATACGTTTTACATTTATGAGCAAAAGGTTTTATTATGGATTCGACAGATGTGAAATTGGCACTTGTATGACTTTGGAAAATCAAATATAATTCTTTGAAAACACTGGCAGAGACATTTGAGTATTTCACAGTAGTTGTAGCATTACTTCTTCATTTTCTTCATGGCAAGACTAACATTTGCAGGGAATAGCCCTCCAATGACTCAAAGAATGAGTTGAATTTTTGAACCGGTAGTTCTAATTACAGATGCTAAAACCAATCAAAAGGGATGCATGCTGTTCAGAATGGAACCGTCGTCCTACCTTCTGCTTTTGGGTTGCCCAAGACCTTGAGCACCTCAGCATTTACAGGGTTTTGGCCCAGCGCACGCATCACATCCCCACACTGATTGTATGTGATCTTCCCATCTCCCGTCCGGTCAAACAGGAGGAAGGCTTCTTTGAATTCTGCAGAGATTAGTGATTAAATAAAGTTAAACAAAATGCTGGGAAATGAGCAGAGAACAGAAAAGATGAGAAACATGCATGATAGACAGAAAAAAAGCAAATAGAAATAAACAGGGATGAAACACACACACGGTTGGTTTTATTATGCACTAAAATAGGACATAATATAATAATACTCGATGGTAAACACATAATGGCAGGCCATTGCTTTAAAGAGCCTGACTTAATTTAAGGAGCCCAATGGATCAGCACAATGAGAAACCCTGCACCAGCCATCAATATTAATGCCACTCAAGGCTATTTTCTGCGGTCTCTATTCAGCCTAGTTGTGACAAGCTGAATGACCACAGACATCTTATCTGTCCACCTTTAGCCATTATACACTTTAGGAGACCTTTAGATCACATTAATAAGCTAGTCAAATATTCAAACATTAGCCATTTAAGATTTTTGCCAATCTACATTATTAACCTTATTATACTTTACACAGTCTAAAAATACAAAGCAGTAACACAACATTTATTTCTTAAATATTACATTGGCAATGATGTTTAATTGACCAGGAATACATTAGCATAAAAAAAACTACATTCATAAAACAAAATAGATTAGATTTGTTTAAATAAATATAACCAAGTTTTATTAATTCACATAATTTATTAAAACACAAAACTTGGAGATAAAGTAAAACAAATACATAAAGCTAATTCAGTAGCACTTAAGTTTAGGCCACAATTCACAGTATTTACAAACCTTTAACACCATTAGCTTTAACAATTATGAATTAACTGTTTATTATAGTTAGTAAGGTGCAAGTTGGGTTTGGGTATTGGGTAGTATTAGGGATTTAGAATAAGATCGTACTTTCTAACTACTAACGAACAGTTAATATCTTAATAATAGGCATGTAATACGAAGAAAACTGTGTCCTAAACTAAAGTGTTACCGACGTTATTTCTATTCAACTTGTGTTGAACATAACTGACAAATAGGCTAAGGTATATGCACAATCAATATAAAAAAATAAAAAAGGTCTGTTTAAAAACGAGAATTGTAATACCGATCACAGAGCTTATTGCCAAAGTAATACAAATGTGTTTCTAAAGTATTTCAAACTAACTAATAATAAAGTATAATCCCTGTTAAACTTCATATGTCTGCTAATATTCCAAATGTGTGGTCTAAAGGTTTGCACGATAGAGGTACACAATAATCACTGCCTTTGGCAATGTCCTAAAATACAAAAGTTTTGGAAAGTATGTTAGACATGTTCAATGTTAAAAACCTCTTTAAATGCTAAGCTCTGTATTCTAAGCTTGTATCCTATGGAACTTCAAGCCACAAGGGCTACTGCATTATACCGGCAATATACACAGGCATGCTCAATCCATAGAATTTTGGGAAAAAGAATTAATGGACTGTATTGAACTGGAGAAACCAACGTTTATTAAAGCAAGCAGAAGGACTTGGTCTATTTTTGGGAACCATAGGGTTCATACACATTTTTACAACTAAAATCCAATGACGTTTCCATGATTTCTCCAGGACTTTCAAGTATATATTTTATATTTTTGTTTTGTTAAAATATGTTTTATATAATGTCTACGTTTACATGTTAAATAATAATAAAAATGATGCATCTTCAAAGTTATAACAGCATATCATTAAAATTGCAACAATCTATTTAGTTTATATAAATCTTTTTATCCATGTAAAACATATTTAGATAATGTTAATACAACAGCACAAATAGTGTGAGAGCATGTTTTTGGCCATAGACTGAACAAAAGTAAAGACAACTAAGTATACAGACATTTGTTAAACTAATTTCTATGACTTTCTCAAAATATTGTGGGTTTTTCAGTTTTCCAAGGCAATTTCCATGCCTGGAAATGTTATCTCATAATTCCATGACTTTTCCAGGTTTTTCATGATTGTATCAACCTTGCATACATGTGTGTTTGTAAACATGATTTTTTATTGTATTGTTTTTGCTATTTTGTCATTATCTATTTTTCAATTAATTATTTTTATGTATTTATTATTTTATTTAGTTATGTTATTTGAATATTTATGTGTTTGTATATTTGCACATACATATATACATATGTAGATATGTGCCGTTTCGTAGGCTGCATTGTTATCATGCCTAGTTAAGGGGGGGGGGGTATCAATATACATGTTTGAAAAAAAATATTCTTTTTTCTATATGCATGTACAAACCTTTTTAAATAAAATGACAAAATAAACCTCTAAATTACTAACAGCCTCAACTAAAATCCATAACTGAGTGTTTCGCTTTATCAGTTAAACTTTGAGAGGTTCTAAATAAAACTACTACTTTGACTCAAAGCCAGAGATCAGAAAAAACTGAATGTTACCCGTTAAGACAGGCCTTTCCCAAAAGCAAAAAACCTCCCATGTCTGTAATGCTTTTCCTCCTCACTGGAATGTGGCTGTTCCCTTGCATGCCTTAAATTGAGCGTTTAACCATATATGGTATGATAGGAAAACGCCAGAGCGAGCACTATTATGTCAACCTCCTTTGCTTAAACAAACAAGAGCAAAGATGAAGCCTAAATGGCCAAACAACAAAAAAAGCTCACACCATTGATGGTAACACAGATGATGACCGATATCTTCAAGTTTAGATGAAGCGGTTTGACACATTAAAGCTGTTAGCAGTCACACTCTTTTGTTAGCAGAATTTCAACACTTCCTGACTCAGACACACCCTCTACAGATATGACTGTGAATGGTATTCAAGAAACCCATTCGCTGATAGGCCTAGACTTTAAAAACGAAACAATAATTCTCAGATAAAACCAATCATAACTACTGCAGCTGATTTAAAATTATTTATTACAGAATTCACTTTAAATGGTGGAGGCAGGTGAGGCGTTTTCAGACGCACAAACAAACAGCTTGTTGTCCTTTTAACACCATGCAAACTTAATGACACCATAACAGAAAAGGTTTACAGTGCACTCACCATGTATTTGTTCCAAGTTAAACTCAATCTGGAGGTGACATACAACCGTGACAAAGGAAAACAGTTCATAGGTAAGGAAAGAAAGCTGGAGGAATGCAGGGGCAAAGTAACATGAGCAGAATAGCATAGGCGGGATGGAAAACGCAGAATGTCTAGGAAGAAATGGGAGTAAATAACACATATAATGAAACAAAGTGGGATGTATCTGAATGAGAGACAAACTCACCAAGAATCTGATCCTCGCTGAAGTCAGACTGTTTGAGACAGAGCGACATTTAATGAATATGAAATGATGCACATTTGCAAAGCTGTGAATCAAATGGGACTTCTGATAATAATGATACATAAATAAAAAATAATCGCTGTCCATAAACTCCGTCTGGGAAAGCATTTCTGTCCGACTGGAAAAGTTAGATAAGTTTTTCATGCCTGGCTAAAACTGTCCAGCTAATACAATCAGCTAACCAACAGCCGTGCTACCGAGTGACAGAAAAACTAAAACAGGCCATTTTAAAAGAACGCGAGTTAACTATCAAAGTCTTAAATTCATGTAAAGTAGATTAATGAACAATTAGCATACGTATTTAACTTTTTTTGTGTACTAAATGGCGTAACAACTCTGTTAGCTAGCATAAAACTAAGGCTAACGTGAACGGCATTCTTTCAGTAACGTTACTAACATTGTATATAGTTACCAAACCTTACATTTGGCTGTGTTTAAACACAAAAGTTGTACCTAAGCATATTTTTTAAATGAAACGTTTGTTAATATCCGTACCATTTTTGCAGCGGCTTGTTTTCCGGGTGTGTGAGTGTATATCGCGGCGGGAGTGTGAGAGATGACTCGCTCAAGCGCTGCTGGGTTATGAAGGAGATCGTGAACGAGTCCTTCCTTAGAGTTGAATCTTCTGAATATCATCACAACACCCGAATGAACGATTCGGTCAGGAGTTGGAGTGAGTCATCAACTTCATTCAATTATTTTATTTTCGGCTTAGTCCCTTTATTAATAAGTTCCTTTTAATATTTATAATATATTAAAAATATTCAAATAATAATATTAATATATTAATATTCCTTCCAGCTGCAACTCATCACTGGAAAAACTTTATTTTCACACTTATTTTATCACTTGTTTATTTTTTGGTGAAAAAGGTAAAAGGTGAGCTATACTTTAGTGTCATCCATGGTTCACGACTTTAAATTAAGGCACAGACTATAAAAAATAAACTTGAATGGACCTTGGTAATAATAGCCTATATTATAGTAGAACTTAACAAAACTAGAAAATTATTTAAATATGAACTGTGTTTAATTATTACCATCAAGTTTTAAGACTCTATTAATATATTTTAGATCTATAAATCACACTTAGACTTCCTAAAATAAGATCATAGGCCCAGCTCATATTATGTTTTCCAAAGCATAAATGTCCAAATTTTAACAGATTTCAAATAATTTCAAGATAAATTAAAAACTTTGGCTCCAGAACCCCAGTTGAGAACAGATGTTCATGTTTCACCAATGCGTATTTACAAACAGTATAGGCCAATACCATTTTAATATTTCAACAGAGATATGTAAACTACTTTCAGTTTTATTTTATGTAAATTCCAACTATAACTTGGTTGTAACACACATAGCACAATTTCTCTGGCCCACCTCTGGCCAACCTAATCAGATTTTGCTTGGCCCACATGCCGCAATAAATTACGGTTCATGACTAGACCAAGTCTGGCTTCCAGACAAGGGCCAAACATGGACCATATCTGGGTCAAGTCTCGGCTAATTTAATAGCACATAACTGGGCCTAAACTTGGCCAAATAGGTTGGTGTGGCACGATTGCTATGCAATTAATAAACCCATGAAGCATTGCAGTAGGCACACTATGCATGCTGCATGCTTTGTCTCAAATAATTATAAAAAATTATTTTAATGTATTTTAAATGTGGGTCAAGACAGGCCAAACATAGATGGCCCACATATCAAATTTTAACATCTGGGCCAAATACTACATTTAAAATCTGGCCCAAATCTTTTGTGCCACTTTAAAGATGGTGCCACCTTTGCCAAACCCAGGCCATGTTTGGTCCACATGCTGTATTCAAGTGCTGGAAGAATGCCTGCTGTGCCAGCTCTATGCCAAATCTGGGCCAGAATTCTTTGCTACCTGGGAAATTACGTTGAGGCAACAAACTAATCCAGGATGAATAGAAATAATTAATATAAAAAGATTATATCATCAAATAAAATAAGTAGTATTAATAAAAAAAGATCTTGATTACTAGATTTCAAAGCTTTAAAAATGTGAACAGCAATATATAGCCTACCTAAAATTGATTTATAGGAACGCTTCACTAGAGAACGCCACGCCTGGACTTTGCTAAAGCGGCCTACGTCATGACGTAAAATAGTCACCGAATCATTTTTTTTTAAAGAACCGACTCGTGAAAATGACTCGGTCTTCCCTTCAGTGACTGGCGGATGAGTCTTTTTACACACAAAGAGTGACAAACACACGCCCAACGCAGATCACTACACCATAATGACTGACTGCACAATAAGCAAAACACGTGTATCTTGAATGCTGATGGTTGGCATGTTTGTGACGGCATGCGAATAAGCTTTTGTTGTAAGATTCAATTTCTGTACTTAAATTATTCATAAAAGCACATAGAGGTGTATGTTATATGTCATATAAGAAGATTTGTGAATTATTTAGCAAAACAAAGGACATTATAAAGTCAATTTCATCAACAACAGGATAGATGTACTGTAAGCCCTTTGTTAAATTCCTACACACACATAAAAAAAACACTAGAGCCTACTGTAATTCAATATCAGATTGTTTATGATCTGCTCTTATCATTTCAACATAGATCTATGAAGAAAATCAATTATTTAGCACGTTCAAGGGAAATTCAAGTTGACAGTAAAGCACCTTGACTTGGACCAGCTACAGTACATTGCTGCCACATTTCCTAATCCTGATATAAGCATGCGAATAAGCTTTTGTTTGTAAGATTCAATTTCTCTACTTCAATTATTCATATAAGCACAGAAGTGTTGATTATAACACAGATGTGTTGATTATATGTCATATAATATCATTTGTGAATCATTTATCAAAACAAAGGACATTATAAAGTCAGTTTCATCAACAACAGGGAAGATGTAGGCCCTAACGTTAATTTGTTAAATTCATACACACATGCAAAAACATTATACTGTAACTCAATCTCTGATTGCTTATGAATGATCTGCTCCTTTCATTCCAACATAGATCTATGAAGAAAGTCAATATTTAGCAGGTTCAAGGGAAATTCAAGTTGACAGTAATGCAGCTCGGCTTGGACAAGCTACATCGCTGCCCCATTTCTCAATCCTGATATAGCTGGAGTATTCTCTCAAGATTTGGGGGCTGGGTTGACACAGTTTCCCCTGTGCTATGCTGAGGTAACCAGAAGCTGCATAAAAAGATTACCTTGATGATTTATTCATAACAATCCAATTCAGATCTGATGCTTGGATGGCAATAGGGCAGTCTATGTTGTTATAGAGAATATAAATAAGTTCACACCATAACATGCAATCTAAATTCTGTTTTTGCTATTCATTTTCTTATTATTTTACTGATACATATTAATGAACTGTTGCTCACAATGATTAGTCAGGAGAATTTCCTTAATTAAAATCTCTGTTGCTAGGCAGTCACTTACCTCTAATGTGCTGGGGTCAAAGGGGGAATCTGAAGGGCGCAGCATCCTCGGTTTCAACTCTGGAGCTGATTTTGGTGGTAACGGTGTTGTGGTGGGGCAAGGAAACGGTGGTCCGTGCCTTGGTAACGTCCCCCCTGATGGAGACTTTTTAATTGACGGTTCTCGTTTCGGTGCCATCTCTAGACCTTGAAATGTGTCCTTGAAATGCCAAAATAAATCAAGCAAAAGGCTCAATCAGATGAAATGCATGTATGTCCTCTGATAGTGGAAAAGAAGAAAAAGAAAGAAAGGAGGCAGAAGCAGGCAGGTAGAGGGAAAGAATCTAGGATGAATTGATGCAGTGGATGTGCATGCAGTGAGAGTGTGCGTAGGAGGGCTGTCTCACTGAATCTGTTTCACTCTCTCCGCTTGTATTTATATGTAGGTCAGAATCGTGTACATATGTGGGTGTTATAGGGTGTTGGTGTCAATAATAGACAGCAGTGTCACTATAGGATAGAATCTAATTTTTACAATTGCATCAATGTGTGTGTCGTACGTCTTGATATTGCTGAGTTCTAAGTGTTCCAGGGTCAACAAGGGTGGAGCTTATGATACAATGTTTCAACCAATCATACAATGTTTCAACCAATCAGATGTGTGTATGTGTGCGGTAGCTGGTCACGTGACGTGACAGCGCAAATTTAGCTGCAATTTTTGAATCTCATCCTAACGGCATCATCACGATCCGTGAAAGTAAGTTAATTTCCTTAGTATTTGCACCTAAGACTACTCAACATAGGATATTGGTTGTATTTAGTACTGCCGCTCTCTATATGCAGAGTATGCAGGTTTAATATTTAGTAACATTAACATAAACTCAGTGTAAATAAAAAATATATTGATAATTCATCCATTCATTCATTTTCTTTTCGGCTTAGTCCCTTTATTAATCCGGGGTCGCTACAGCTGAATGAACAGCCAACTTATTCAGCACGTTTTTACGCAGCCCTTCCAGCCGCAACCCATCTCATTCACACACATTCATTTACACTCATACACTACAAACAATTTAGCCTACCCAATTCACCTGTACCACATGTCTTTGGACTGTGGGGGAAACCAGAGCACCAGCAGGAGACCCATGCGAACGCAGGGAGAGCATGCAAACTCCGCACAGAAACGCCAACTGACCCAGCCGAAGCTCGAACCAGCGACCTTCTTGCTGTTAGGCGACAGCACGACCTACTGCACCACTGCGTCGCCTATATTAATAATATATTGTTAAACACATTTTTAAAAGCTAATTTTATGACGAACGCAAAAAAACAAAAAGTAATTTTTTTCCGCCGCATATGTGCAGCATATGGCCCTTATCTTTACGGCTGCGGGCAGCATATATCTACAATTTATGCAAGTTGCAGCTCTATGTCTGTAAAAGACAACAGCAGTCTGGAGCTGAGAAGAAGAAAAAGGACATAATGAATCGCGTGCATCACTTTCAGGTAGCTTATGTCCATGAATCTGGAAAACTTGTATTTTTTTTTGGTTGTTCAATTAAATTAGTAAGGCTGACGTTTAAACTTCGTCACAACTGCACAAATCTGCCTGATTTGTTGTTTACGTTCAGTTTCTTGCTTTGCTGCTCTGCATTGTGCTTTAACATGCTTTTATGACTTTTCTTGTTTGCCACTCTGTTGCTGATAATTACACAAACTCAATTATTTTTAATAACTTGTGCAACACTTTACATTTCTGTTTGCACACCAGCTACATGCATGGCACAATTATTTTACTGTATGTATTGTTAATTATTATATAGTTATTATATTCTATAATTCTCTGCAGTTATATTTGTTTATTGTTTTGTCTATTTCTATACATTTCTTATTACTGCTGTCCTTTCTAAGAGCTGCCAAGTTTTGCTGTATTGTTGCAATGACAATAGAGTATAGAGTACAATAAAGTCCCTTTAGTCTTTGCATCGGTGGATTTGTGTGTTTTTTATATCCTGTTTTTTTTTTTCATTTTTGTACATTACAATATAAAAATAACAAAACTGACTAATATTCTATGATTTCTGAATGATCAATAATACAAAACGAGTCAAATTACT